AAAATAACCATATGCGCACAATCTTCCTTCGGTATAGGCTCTGGCTTCTTCTTGACAAAGTAAACAGCTTTGTTCTTCAAGTAACACGGGAATGAAACGACCGGTACCAACTGCAGTGCATTCGTTAGGACCACCACCAAAAGCATGGGCAAGGGTTTGTCCACGAAGTCCTTCAAAGTGGACCTGTGTTCTTCCAAACCCAGTACCCTCATCCATTTTTCTGGTTTTAATTTAAGTGATTTTACTGCATAAGATCCTATGAAGTCAAAACGAGGATCCTGATTGGATGATGATGGAGCCTGCTGGTCCATGTTTGGTAAGAATTAAGGGTGGCTTTGTAAGCTAAGTCATTTTGAAAGCCTGTTTCTCCTATGCCGGTTGGAACGTCTTTGACAAAGTACGGACTGCGAAAGGTAGAGGCAAAAGGCAAGTCACGCAAGTCCCAACGGCATACCATTATGGAACGATGTCTCCTTTGTAACGAGCATCAGCATAGCTATACTAAAATACATTAAGTGTAAGGTGTACACAAAAACCCTAATGGTTAAAGTCACATCAGGATTTTTTCCGTCTTAGCAATATCAAACCATCTTCATTAGCTGTTGTCATTATCTATGGATATAGGTATTCACATAGATTTTTCAAATATTACCTATATTTAAATAGATATAGATTTATAACGATATAAGTTTAAATAATCAAATATTACCCAAAAACTATTTGTCTAAAATATTCGCCACTGAATTCTAAATTCATTCAAACTAAATTTTAGGTACTTACAAGATCTCGTGTTTTGATTGATAACGTCATATTTCAGAACCTGTCCACCTTTCTACCTTACTTCCTTAAGATATTTTTAATTAATTGCTTAGGTAATCACATAACTGTTGTTTAGTATAATAGTTTCAAGCCACTCTAGGGGCTTAACTAACTCCGGAGCTAAAATTAATTATACAAGATTGTTAGGTAAGTACCTACTACGTATAAAAAAATATTATTTTATTTAATCATGAAAATTATTTAAGAAACGATTTTGTAGGTGCAACTGCTTCTGCCACCAGTACAGTAAGTGGGCAAAGCGCGTACCAGGCGGTTAGCGCGCCGCCCTACGCCGCCCGCCAGCAAGATGACACTCGTGCGACGTCGCCCAAGAATAAGGTCAACTGTCGTAGTTACAACCTTTGCATGCCATGAAGCATAGGCTGAAGCGATATTGCATGATACCTACCATATAATCTAATGTAAGATCGGAGGTTTCTTATTATGTAGGTACCTAACTAGTGGCGTAATGATCAATTGTTATACCCAGTTATGCCAGTACAGTACTTTTCCTTATTGTTATTCTTGTTCTAATTACTGTGTCATTATTCTAAACTATCGAAATTCTAGTAGTTAAATTTGATTGTCAGACTTAACACACGTTGGACAAAGAAAGAAGATATCAAAACTCGTACCTAACTAAAAAGACCACAATTACCGCCAAAGATTGTAATTTAACTAGAGCTCAAAACAGAAAGAATCCTAAAACACCATTCTTAAAAACCTACCAATGTAGCTAATAGTTCAAAAGTAAGTAGGAACAAATTATTTAAAAAATAACAGCTTCGGTACAAAAATGGTTACCTACACGCTGTTAACTTATAACTTACCATAGCTTCCACCAATCATACCAAGTTACTTACATAAAATCCTAGCTAAACCTTCCTGACTTATAAACTGACGTGTTGAATGTTTTATAATTTATTTACCTTTCATTAAATTCCGTGGATCAAACTTCCATTTTGCTTACATTAGTCGAATAAATCAAATATGATGGATTCCTTTCACGCGAGTCTTCATCGCGTTCGTAAATTCTGATTGCTATTTAATTTCCATTTCTCAAAATGGTAACTTGGGCACTATATATAAATAATTTTAATTTTTGCAGATACATATTGAAATAAAACATTTTGCTAGCAGGTAGCAGGTTAATTTCCTACAATTACACCGGTTCCCGAAAGGCCTATCAATGTTAAAATCACAGAACAGAAAATTAAGTAGAAGTGCCCCTACACTCTTTCAAAAGGAAAACCAGTGTCGCCAAAATCACACATTCGCAAATCAAATTGTCCATTACAAACATAAAAAACAGCTATATACTTAATTGGGTAAAAAGTTGAAACGCAACTTTAACAAATCATCTTCTAAATGTTGTTAAAAATTGAGTCATATAACAATGAGCGAAAGTTGTTATCATTTCACATGTCACGATCAATAAAGGCGTCTATCGTGTAAAAAACTGAAATAAAACAATTTACAAACGGGTTCAGCCACTCAACGCTAGATGGCGCTGTAACAAATTCATTCTATTCAAAACACTAACTTCTTTAAAATAGATGTCATATTTGTATGCACTTGTACCAATAGACATTTACTATTTTGCTACTCAGATAGGGCAGGGTATCCCAATATATCGATGTTTTTGTTTTCGTGTGAGCAATATAATTTATCGACACGATATACCTACAAATGATCAGTAATGAAAAAGGTTCTAATAGAAAAAAAGAAAAATATTAACATATTTTTTGAAGATCTAATGTTTTTTGGACATGGTCAAGTTATTATTAAAGATTTCGATTTTAACATATAAAAGCACTACGCGCTCCTACAAGTTTTATCTCCTTTCCAACTAAAATAGAATCATTAAAATCGGTTCATAAATAACGGAGACGAAAAAACAAAAAAATTGTTACAGTCGAATTGAGAGTCATTCTCCTTTTGGAACTCTGATAAAAATCATGTACAACATCTATACTTATAATAAATCTGTAGATTAAATATATTTTCAAAATAACTACCAGGGGGTGATTAGTGATCGATACTGATGCCAAAAATGCAATCAGTAAAAATTTTGTCTGTCTGTCTGTATGTTCTTTATAGAAACAAAAACTACTCGACGGATTTTAACAAAACTTGGTACAATTATTCTTTATACTCCTGGGCATTTTTATTTTTGTGTAGCGGTTGCCGTGCTCGACACGATGCGGTATAAAATATAATATAATATAGGTTTTATCAAATATTTGTAACTCTTACCTATTAGTTAGATCCGTACCTTTCTATCTATGGACGGACGGACTGCAGAGACTAATAAGAGAAAGTAATAGGGTATTTACCCATTGGAGATGTACCCATAAAAATGAGACGATAAATACCAAATTTTATGTATACTTAGATTTTGTTCTATTGCTATTTGCTGCTTTTTATCAACACAGCACGCGGGCGAAGCCGCTGACGAAAACTAGTTATAAAATAAAAATGGTGATTAACCACCCGCACCTGCCACAGACGGATGCACGCTGTGTGTGGTTAAAACGTTGATGTGTCTATGCAATCTTAGTTAAACATTTATGAATTATACACAAAAATTGTCAAAAATCAATTTTCTGAACGATGATGATGAAAAATTATCGATATGAACCTATTTTACGAATATGTCACATCCCTAAATGAGTAGCGTCGAAACTACTAGAATGTATTGTATATAACGTCACATAACGAACAAGTAGATTTAAACTTAATTGTAATGAAAATAAGGCCCTTTATAGTTTGCATTGAAGTAATGAAATGTGATATTTACATTAAAATCAAATATATTTAAAATTAACAAAGGTTAATACTCAAAGATGATACGATACACCACCACAAGACTCATCTTTTTTTCTGCTTACTTTTTTGCAGTTGAAAACCGCACAACAAGGCATAATTTCTAATATATTTCGTGTTTCTTAGAGACAACCATGACAACCAATCATGACAACGGATCGAACGATTCTGACAACAAATGTGCCAAAATTTATACAACATTTTCTATTCATCATGTTGGTTAACGCGCGATGTCTGAGCGGCACTTCCACTGTATTTTCTATTCCGTGGTTAAAATCAATTTAATCTCTTGTCATCTGATTAGTTGACTAAATTATGAACAACCAATCAGATGACTTGACAAGAGATTTAACAGGAGATTAGTTAATTTTAGCGTTGACAAGCCTTTCAGAAACGGGTGTTAATGACGAAAATGAATGCATTCCCGCCATTTTCCAACTTATATTCTTTAGTTTTTTAAATATCAACCATTAACCCTTTTTTATTTCCAGCTTACTTTTTTTTATTGTTTCTAACAACCTGGATGTCCATTATTGGTTAATTTTTTATGACAATAATAAAATACTTTAACTCGTATGGAATGGAATGGGATGTTAAAAAAATATTATAGGTACTTTCATTGATTTGTTTTATTTTTAAATAATCCTACTCGTTTAGGTATCGGAGAATTATTCTTCGGCATGAATGGGCCGACTCGACCTGACGGCCTCACAGGAGACCATCGTGAAACAAAACAGCGTTGTGTTTCACCGTGTTAGTGAGGTTACCGGAGGTCCAATTCTACCCTCCTCTATCTGGCCGGGAACGCACTTTCAGCTCATCTGGTGTAGCCGTGTCCATGGACGCTAATTGCTTACTATCAATCAGGATGCTTGTTTGCATATTAAATTAAAAGAATATTTGATATAAAACAATATGACGTTCATATGTCTGATTCATAAAGAAATAATATGATTACCTACGACAAATAAGTACTCTTATGTAGGTACACTCACCAATCAATTTGATAGTCCTGCAGATTGTTGATACTCCACCTTAATCATTCCATAATTTTGAAGACATGATAATATCATGTTTGCTGTTTGGGATAAAGATAAAAAACTTCTTGATGTTTGCTAGGTATCAAAAACTACTTTTTGTTAGATCAACAACCGTTATTTTTTTAGGAAATGAAAGCTGTCACTCCTTCTTAAAGATAAACTACTTTCAAATTCTAATACTTTTATGTTATTTCCAACTACTTCAACGACTACATTAATCTAATAACTAACTAGTAAGAGTCACCGATATCTAAATCCAAAGTTCTATCGTATGACGTAAGGGTTTCTACAGACTACAGGAATAAAATACAGAAGAAATATTTTATAATACATTTATTGATAATGACAGCGATGGTTGACTCGAACTTGCTACTTGGCAAAAATATTTCCACTAGAAGTGAACTATTTTTGTATTTAAATATTAAAATCTCTTTATTATGCTTTATGTGTATAGTAATGAAGATGCAACCATCTATGCTACAAAGTAGCTGCCTATTTATCACAAAAAGAATTAGAAATACATACATTACTTTGTCATTTATTTATTTTACATTTCCAATTCTGGCAAAATTAATTTACTTAACTTTATCTACGCTAAAATAAAATCCATGCAAGTCACATTTCATAAAATAATAATATTACATTCACATTCTTAGAAGCGTGTGATATCTTGAATTGACTGCGAATAATACACACAATTTTCTAATATGAAATAATATTAAACAACAAATTATTTCATTTACCTAAATACTATTTGTTTAAAACAAAAGCACAGCACATGGTCAGCTTAATTTCTAAAAATTAAATTAGGACCTACGAGACGCTGCTTTTAAGGTCACTATTTGCCTAAACCTAGGAGCCCTAGTGCACACTCCGAGACATCTGACCCGAGCCGACACATTCAAGGCGTGGTACCTGCTCCGCTTGACAGCCAGTCCTTTGCCCGTGTTCTACCAAACTACTGGACATAAGCACATCAAGAGTTTCAAAGACACATCCTACTATATTTCAAAATACGTATATTTCATTTTAGATTTTTTAACGTCGACTACACATTGAGCTGTCCTAGTTAGGGCCAGATTTATTTATTATAATGGTAAATACTTTTACATTCAAAGTTAAAAATCGTAAAATGCAAAATAAACGCCATACAAGTCGCATTCTGTAGTTAAAATTCTAACTAATCACTGATAAATACTACTGAACGTCTGCTAGAACGATAAATGTATAGAAAAAATGGAATGTTTAAGTACGACAGTCTAATAAGCTTTCGATAAATTTTTATCGTCATAATTCTATGTATGTGACAAATATGATGTCAGTCAATGCTTACAAGTTATCTGAACCGCTGTCCCATGGCGAGGCGCCAATAGGGTCATACCATTAACATTAACAATACACGAGTCCCGTGAGATCGGATAACAGTTTTAGAACGGCTCGCTCGCTATGGAATCGCGGCTCCACTAAAATTGGCATTAAATTCTCGAGTGCATACTTTGAAACAGCTGTTTTTAATATTTTTGAATAACATTTTATATGAATAACTTACTTACATTTAAATGTAAATATACATATGTTTACAGAGGTATTCGTTGACGCCACATGTTGGAATGCGACTCAGCGACGCATGGCGACACACAACACTTTCGATGATACGTTTCGACGCGTGACGAGAACTAGAATGTTCTACGATGTGACGTCACAGAATTGCCCTCAAGGAATGGAGGCAAGTGGCGAACTATGAATGTACGCTGAAAGTGGGACTTACAAACGCTAGTAGATAACCAGGCGTGTTACTCTATTCTGTGTACTCATTTAGTGTACTTACGAACGATTACTTTACTAAGAGGATGGAATATACATTAGGTGATCTAAGAAGCCCCGTATTACCACGGAGCGAACAATGTGGACATTACCTAATACGATTACACGCGCACTATGCCGCTACAATATATCTTGATAAATTATCCAAATTAGGCTTTATTCAAAAATTAAACTATACTCTTCGTATTACTATAATGGAGAGAACATCGATTAAGAATTTTGTTTCACTAATTTACAGATAGAATACCTCATCGATTTATTGTTCGAACGTGGATGGAGATAATAAATTGAGGACAATTTTTAAGTAAGTGACATTTAATTTACAGAATGCCGATTCACGACTACATTTACATAAATTTTCGAATATACACAACCTAATCGATATAAATGTGTGTGTGGCGCAAGAGATGAGTGAATCTATGACGTCACACCTGTCAGAGCTGACAGACTACTTGGCAAGAGAGCGTCGCCGCCACAAAAGTGTCGGCCGGCACTTAATCGATATTAAAAATGAAATATTAGAAAGGATCACTAGTAGTGTTTTATCGAATTAGAAGCGTTACAATGGCAGTATAGATTGCTCGGTTCGCTCACCGCTTGCGCCGTACAACGGAGCGTCATTGTCTGGACTTGATTTATCCGTCACTGGTTAGTGTACTAAGTACAAAGTCTTTTACAAGGACGAAGATGTAATATTGGACGATTTCATAAACTACTTGAGATACACCTTTAAATAAAAGGGGCAAAAGCAGGCGTCGACATAAAAAAATAAGATTTTTAAATAGTTAGGTGGCAAGATACTTTCACAATCGAAACTGGCAATCGTGTGTCGAACACAAAATGCACGTGAGCACTATGCAGTAATAGGTTAGAATATTATAATAAGAGATAGGGTGAAGCATACAATTACGAACGCTATTTACTGGTACATAAGACACGGTATCGAAAGTAGTTTCGAAATTACTTAATTAAGTTTGGCGACACCCTAAAACGCGGACAAGAATCGAACACTTCACCCTAAGTTAAAAACGTCATAAAATGCAACAGTGAAGAGAAACAGTAAAATGTCAAAATCACAGACGTTATATTCCCTGTGCAGAATATAAAACTGTGCGGTCACACGAGGGTAAGCAGATACAGTGGTCGATGATATAGACATAGATAAATAGGTATACAGTATCGTAACATCTATCACCACAAACTATACATTACAAAGAATTTATACAAATAACTTAATAAAAATTATTCAATCACCGATGATCATTAAAATAATAATACACACACAAATCCACATATTTACATGATTTCCAAAAATGATAAAATTAAATCACATTGTAATTCCATAATATTATTTACAAATATTTAAAAATAATTTCATTTAATCCATACGATAAAACATAACGACTAGCACAGTCAACTACAAAAGTGTTATATATTATAAAATTAACACCAACGGTTATATACAGATGACACTTAATTTATAGTATATTTGACTATAATATTGCTATAAATTTGATTAATTATTATGACAAAACGTGATTATCCTCTTAAGTTATTAGAGGCAGTGATTTAAAATACGTTTTTCATTTATATTTAACATTTGTTGCTAACTTCGTGGTGATATATCACTTGTGCAGTCAACTGTACTTAGATCCACAGGGCGTTCTCAGACTGCCGATGTCCTGCCCTCTCGGACATCGAGAGTAAAACAATCCGGAAACATTGCGACGTCTACACGTTCTATTGACGCGGTCAATAAAACAGAGACTGGTTTCCCCTACTCTGTTCCCGACACAATAAAAACGAAGGCGAACAATATTGCTTCAAGGGTAGTAAATAAACATCTACAATACATATAAGCACCATACGAGTTACACGACTGCAACAAAAAATGCGATTCTATGATACAAGTAGTGTGGGACGTAAATATAAATTCGGTCCGATACATTGCCGGCTTTGTCCGCGTCCTGTGTGAGTGAGGTTCGTGGAGCGAGCGATGTACGCCGAGGCGGGCGGGTCGCGGGAGGACTGCTCTATTTGCTATTCCTAGTTTTGGTGCCGACGGCGTTTATGCTGTCGCCGCGACTCCGCGATCTGTGTAAGTTGTGTAGGCCTTCTCCTGGAACAAAGTAACTTTCCTCTTAACATCTGAACCACAGCTGTATAACACGTCTGCTCGTTTTATCATAAAAAAGTAGTTATATTAGTAGGGGGGCTAGTTAAGTGGCAGTGAATAAAGTAATGAAAGGCAGCTTCGGGGTGTAAAGAACAGAATACCGGCTTGAAACTACCACAGCGTTGTGTTTCGCCGTGTGAGTGAGGTTACCGGAGGCCCAATCCTTATAACCGCAACCCTTATCCCCAAAAGGCCGGCAACGCACTCGTAACGACTTTGGTGTTGCGGGTTTCCCAGGGGTGGCGCCGATTGCTTGCTATTAGGTAATCCGTCTGCTCGTATGCGAAATACGCATAAAAAAGTGAAAAATATGTAGTTCGCGTACCCTTGCTCTGCGCGCGTTTGAGCTCGTTATCCCGGAAGGCGCGCGCGGAACGTCCGCGGCGGTCGTGCACGATCTTGTCGGGCCGCACGAAGATACCGTGCCGGGGCCGACACTCGAAGTAGCGCTGCCCGCCTACTGAACCGTCGTTTTTACCTGGTGAAGAGAGAAATAAGACTGGTTATAGGTACTATGATGTCATGTTTTCTTATATTTTATTTTTTTAATATTATATTACTTGGTGCCAAATAAATTATTTTTGTTTCTTTCTTTTCTTATTGTCATACTATAGTTTGCATGTAAGGGGCAATCTTTGTAACCGCTGGTCAGATTTCGAAAATTCTTACACTGATGAATAGCTACAATGTTTCTGAATGTTACAGGCTATCCTCACACCACCCAATAGGAGCACAGCAGCGGGAGAAACCGCGCGGTAGTAGCTAGTACATTCACATTTTAATAGAACACGTACGTAAACAGCTTGAAACATGAAATGATTCTTGACATTTTAATTTTTAATTTAATTGGTAAATTTTTTTAGAATTTCTATTTCCACAATGTCATATTTGCATGTATTTTTGTTTTCATATTTTGTCATAATTATCACTTTAACTTAGTAGCCTAATGTATGCTGTGCTTAACTATAATAGATTGTTAGACAAGTAAACTTCAGTGGTGAAGACCATCTCCAATTAAATTATTAACATATTTATGAACGAACAACACAAAATGAAGAATGATATTCAAGATCTAGTGGCAACCTACCAGTGGGCGCGTCGAGTTCGATCCCGATCCAGGTGCCGGGGGCGAAGTGCGTGGGGCCTGCGTACGCGATGACGCCCGTACTGCTGCTGAGGCGCAGCTGTACGCTCTCCCCCACGCACATCCACGCCTGCACCACTCCACACTCCGACGGCTCCTCTGTTTGACATGTTCATATATTATTATGTGATACATGGTAGATTTAAGTGTGGGAATGCCACGAATGGCTCAACCGGAGTGATAACACACGCTCACAGAAAACCGGCGCAAAACAACCACAGCGTTGTGTTTCGTCGTGTAAGCGAGGTCCAATCCTTCCCCTCCCCCAATCCCTCACCAATCACAAAATCTCCAAAATTCCTAATACCCAAAAGGTCGGCAACGCACTCGTTGCTTTTCCCGTCGTTATAGGTGTACCTTGAGGTAATTAGTCTGCTCCTTTGCCGACATATCACATAAAAAAAGATATTATCAAAGAAAAGAATGTGAATCTTTGTTGATTCCTACTTTAATTACGGATCTTATTCATAATTTAAAAGATACTTTCTTAAAAACTATTGAATGCTAATCCTGCGCTAGAATCAGCCACAATTACCTTCACGGCATTAGAACAAAATCTGAAATTAATTATTTCATTAATCTATACCTAACGAACTATTCTAAATCAAAGGACTATTTTCAGAATACCTACCTACACAGAATAATAAACATCAACACTTTTTATAGCAAGCATGTCTAATCTATGATAACTAGCACACTTTCTACAGTTGTTACATAATAATATTAAATAAAGAAGTATGGGTTACCGTCTCCGATGCGTTCAGTAGAGGAGGCGGGCGTATGATGCAGGCCGGGTTCGTGCGCAGAGCGCGGCCGCGCGCTGGGGAAGGACGCGCGCGACGCATTGCGCGCGCTACCGCCCGCGCGACGCCGTACCACCTGATGTACAATATTGCATTTACTTAATAAAGCATAAAGACGATCACCTCAATGTATGTACTAGTCCCAAAATACTTTTTTTTTTTGTTTTTAATGTTGCCCCACATTAGTATTTTCTCCTGTGCCGTCGTTGCGTTTACAAACATAAAGTTTCACTTAGACCTAGAACACCAATTTGTGAATCACACAAAGAATTTTTCAGTGCCGGAATCGAACCCGCGACGCGTAGCACGGCAACCAATAGCCCAACCACCGCGTCAACCGTGCAGTATAATATACAAAGTTCGTATAAAATATATCTAGAAATGTATGTGGAGTAAACAAGTCATGTTGATTTACTTTCCTGATTTGGGATAAAGAACAGAATAACAAATTATTGGTCTTACCTTGCCGGCTGGCAGTTGCGTTTTAACAACAGGTTGGTCAGGTCCGGTAGAGGCCGAGTCACTCTCGCCGACAGACGACGCTTCCCGGCTTCGCTCAGCATCGTGACTTGATTGTTCAGAGCTCACCGATTCTATTTCGGCTTCACCTACAATTAGTGCAAAGTTTCAATTGTATCTTAGACGTTGATATTTTTCTTTATTTCGTCATTTTATTGTATTTAATAAAATAATGTAAAATAAGAAAAAGAAATAATGACTTCTCTCTTAAAATTGTTACATGAATGAGTTCATTACCTGCCGAGTGAGCTTCACTGACGATCAGACTGACAGACTATCATTCTATTTTGACGTTTCAAAAGTACCTATTTATGGTTTAGTTGGAATAAATGACTTTGAATTTGATTGAACTTGTACTGATTTAGAAGAACTAAATACAAATAATGTATGGAACAAATAAGGTTAAGAGTAATACTTCGTAAATCTTGGAATGAAGATTTTTCCGCAGCTACAGTCGGTAGTGTAGATTAAGACATACTGGCCAATTTCAGTCAACTTGTGACAGCCACGCTGATGGGACTAATAAGACTTAACGCGTCACTAGTGATATCTAAGGAAGTTTTAATCGAAAACGTCCTGTATAATAAAGACGATTCGTTATTTTGTAATCTACCTTCTTACAACAAGTAAACATTTTAGTATTTATTTATTTGTAGCTGTATGTATTTGTGAACTTACCAAACGACGTATCCTGCGAGTTGTCGTGTGAAACATCATTCGTCGAATCGTGGGTTACATCACCATTGACTTGAGAGTTCTCAACGCTCTTGCTACTGGACAACACCGCACTCTCAACAGGCAGGGCTCCCAGGGGATCCACCATTTGGTTCTTGGAGTCATCTTTAACAGCATCCTCGCAATCCCTTAAGAACGGATTGATACGATTCCTAGAACCAGGCGTAAGTACTGGCGTCTTAGCCTTTTCAAACATAGAATCGTCCAACTCGTGTTTAGACTCCACGATGTCATTCTTCAGGTCATTGATATCGTTTCGCAGTTCCGTGATTTCATTCCGAAGGCCAGCCATCGAATTCTTGGTTCTACTGATGTGTGTGTAGTCCATTGTTTTGTCGAAATCTGGTGTCTCGTCAACTGACATGCTTCGGATTGAAAGTGTGTCGTCGTTCGTCAGGTTTGTGGATGATACTGCTTGTGAACCTGATGGATGAGGAGCATATTTTAGAAGTGATTTGGCATTGTTTTGAACTTAAATGCAGCTGAGTGGTTCAGATATAATTATTTAAGTTTAGAACAGTAATACTGCTAAGTAATGCCCTATTTATTTCTTGGTTTTTTTAAATTGCTTCCTACAATTTTTTATTAAAACTTTTATAATACACCAGGGTTCTTTTCGTTTACAATGATAAAAATACCCCCAGACCCGGTATAACGATATTTAGATCAGATAAAGATTTTTTGCCTGTCATCAACTTACCATAGCCACTGGATGATATTGAAGGGGAGTTCTTGTTGGGCACTCGTTCACACGCCAGCTCATGGAGCGAATCTAACGTCTTCGATGTTGGTAAGAAGCCACGGGATGTTGCGCGGTTGCGTGTGCGCTGCAAACAAGACAACTTATTAATTTATTGCCTTTTTATGGCTTAATTAAAATAAATGTTAGTAGCCAACAAAAAAAAAATGAAGTTGATGTAAATTTTCAATATCGTTCACATGATATATTAATTACCGACAAAAGCGAGCTTCGGAAACGAATATCTGGACCCATACATTTTCGATTCGCTTGTGGCATTTGTATTTCGATTCGAATATTAATTTATATCGCACACACAGTAAATAAACAATGTGTTTAAATATTGACACAGGGAATAAAAACTTTATTTTTTATTACTTACATGTGACCGTGGGGTAGTAAGCTCATCAACAGGTGCCGATTCTGGTTCCGAATGCGAGTCCTCATCGTTCCTTCTGCCTGGTTCTTCGTGAAGCGTCGTCATACGCAATCCAAGCTTGCCACTCGCCGGAGACGCTGTAATTACACACACATTAACTACATATACTTATGTAAAATATACTTTAGGACAAGAGAGTATGGTCTTAATTTTATTGAAACTGTGACTTGATTTTTAAATCACTCTGTGTTTATTATTAAAAAATACTCAAAAGTGATAGTGATATCGATATAGATAATATTGAAAAGGTCTTAAGTCATGTGTAAAACTTTAAAGTAATATAGACTGTGTATCAAGAAAGAGGTAAGTATTAAATCCAAAGTTTGTTTGTAGGTAAATTCTATAGTGTAGATAACAAAGATAGCCTTTTTAAATGTTGAAACAGTTAAACTGTGCAGTACTTAGCGTTAACAAAATAGCGTAGTGTCTAGCTTATACTAAAGTAACAGCTTTTTTAAATCAAAATACAAATAAATGAGTTAATTTTTTAAAACATCGTCGAATGAGCGTCCATGCTTGAGATTGTACAATGATTGAGTCATGCCAATGTTGTCACTATACGAACTAACTCACTATGAAATGTAGCAAACAAAAAATTAAAACTTATGTTTTACATTGAATTTCTTTTCAGTGTTACATTAAATGTCATAAACCCTTATTTATTTAAAGGAATAGTTGGGTTTCAAACATTTTCATTACAAATATATATATGAGAAGTGAGTACTTTGATCAAATCAGTACTCTTAAATCATCCATCTAAAAAACTATGGTCTTATAGGTAGATGCACTTGATGAGCTTCTTCCAGCAGATAGTTTTTAGTTGACATCATACATCATGAACACATGACACAGAAGGAGAAATTAACAAACTTTTCTTCATGAATGTTTAAAGAAAAAGTGATATATCAACCACTAACTCGACCACATGCTATTCAAATACACAAATCGTGTTTAAATACCACTGAAAAGCTAGTAACAATGAACTTAACAAATAATACAAATATATAAAGAAAACCGTCAAAAAACAAGCGAAACTAGTGATTCTACGACTTAATAACTGGACATACACTTGTTGGGCGTCTGCAGTCGCAGAGAGTTCAGGTTCAAATTCAAGTTTAGGAACGTTGGCCGGGCTGCAATGAAAATATCAATGTCTTCGTCAATACAAACCTTTAACACAATATATAAAATTTTGGCACTTACAGCATTATATTCTAAGTTACACAACTGATAACTAATTAAGCTAAGTTTTGTGTACAATTTTTGACTTAAAATTTAAAAGAAATTTCTTATACATTTTGTTGATTGCAAGATATTATTGTATGGGACGCAAAAAGGCCACCGGCCTCTAACTGAAAAGCAAGATAGTAACTTTATTTCTTTCCAACCATTTAAATCTATTTTACAATATTCTTACTGTATAACTATCACACATAACTCTGTACATAGCTTCAAATAGATTCACGTACACCACAATTTATCTAATATTATTCTAAATAAAAATATACGAAATACCAAACCTACTTTACAATGTTGATAGACTATCACATGCGGTATACAATATCTATCCACGAGGAATACTTTCATCAAATATTTGTCTACAATACATGCACAGTTTCACCTAACACACACACAAACCTACATCCAATCCCATTGGTCTATCACTACTACATATCTACTAATACAAAGATAGGACTGCCTTTAAAGTTTTTTACGCATTGCACAATAGATTCAATACACAATAATCAATATTTGGCTGATTTGTTAAACCCTACCATTTGTAAAGCAATAAATCGTTGTCTAACTGAAAGCGTCGTTCGTTTTTTGAATCCACAGCAAATAGATCAACGTAGAGGAAGTGGGAAGGAGAGGAAAAATCACAGGTCATGCTGGTCCATGCAAATGAAAGAGACACGCAAACAAACAGACAGTCAACACAACGACAGAAGCTTGATGCTCGAAGCTTGCTTTCCTCTAATAGCCAATACAGGGTCTAATTTTATCAAAATGAACTCAGCATCGTATTTTGTCCTCAATCATTTTCGATATGCCAATATTTTTTGATGATTTTTTACAGCCAATCAATGGGTAACATATAAAAACAAAAATTCCTTATGAGTAACAATGATCACAACACATCTATTTAGTTTTTAATCGTTCGGTTGCATTCGTCTAATAATTTCGCAATACAGTTGCCATTCCGATTTAATACCATATTGTTTTCTCTGTTTACCTGATAGGAACGAGCCTGAAGGTAGCGGGGGATTAAGATACAGAAAATATAATGTTAGTTTCAGAGTCGGGAATCATTTTTGTGGTCCTATTCAACCTTGTTCTTTAAGATCTATTGTAATGGAGCCCAATAAACGTGCAAAAGTTTGATTAAGATTAAAAAATAATGAAAAAATATTAGAGGAGCATTCAAATGTTCAAAAATATTAAAATCTGTTTATGTAAAGTTGGGTATTCGACTCCATTCCCATTCAAAGATATCTCAAAGAAAAAGATGGATTATGGAAGAAATATTTTAGTAAAAATTCAAACAGGTCATATCAAAGAACATGACAGTGAAAGAAGGGGAAGACAGTTAGATAAAGACAGAAGGGGGTTTCCTGAGCCATAGCGTTGCCACAAAGCAATTGGAAAATAAAATAATGTAATAGTGAGATTATGAAGAGTGGATGTTTCAGTACTGTCGTGACGTGGCAGTATTGTGAACATGAATCGCTTGATATTTGTTTCGATATCTCTCCAATATAATGTTACTATTAACCTCATATTGAACACTATTCTAGTTAGTCTATCGTGCATCGAAATCTGTACATACTAAATCAAATTTATGTTACCTATTCTACGTAAATGCACTAATAAATTATATTCTTTGTCTAAATTACGGTTTACAAATCGATGTAAGCCTATGAGTCGTAGTTAATGCGCTATTCGAATGCACATGTGCAGATACTGCGAATAACTTTTTATTTCAAATTATATTTAAAACTGTACTTAGGCATGACATAATGTAATGAGTGGTAAAGAATGAATGTTTCGGAAATAGGAGTGTGTCTTGTACTGTAAAAAATACATATTTTAGTTAAGGAGAGATATTTCGGGAATTTTGGGGTAGGGTTATAACTTACCGAGTCCAAATGGTTTGGTGGGTGTTGGTATCTCGGGGTCGTTGTGTGACGGGGCCGCGTATGAGTGTCGGTGCACGGAGCGGCGCGGGGTGTCCTCGGCCAGGTCCGCCATACTGCCGGCGCGCCCTGACGCCAGCCCGGCCAGGGACTCGAATGACGAGTCCAGTCGCATCAACTGAAGAATACATACACTATATTATTATCTCAATCAACTCGCAGATTTCTTTACGTGGTTAAATATTTTTACACATCACTTCACATTAAGCTCATTCAATTTTAACACGGAAAGCCAAACATTTCTTTCATATTCATTTCCATTATTGACAATTTAGTTTAATTGGCACTAATTTGCAGACATTAACTTAAATATTTAAAATGCTAATTTACAAGTGCTTTGAAATAAATGTGATAACTAACTACGTGAAATTGTGTATTTAACTACTAAATAGTATGGCGGCTACAACAAAAAAAAATACTAAAAACGAGTAACGAAAACTGGGAATCCAATCTAGAACACTGATTTATTCTTTAGCATTCCAGTTAAACAAATTATTGATTAATACAGAAAAATAAAAACTACAAACGGGACGGAACAAATGAAATATTCCGACGAATGGAATTTTCTTTTTTCTTTATTTTTAAATGGTTGATAAATAATCATCAATTTTAGGTATCGTTTAAATCGTTTTAAGTGACAATTCATGTCTTGCTAAAAGCAAAGATTGTTATAAAACCCTTCATTGTTCAGTGCATTTGGTGGTCATCCGTAAATCAACCATCCAGTGTACAAATATGGAGGTGCGATCTTAAAACTTCTGTGCCAATGTGACCTTTTGCACGTTTTAATCAATAAGTTTATTTGCAAACCGTAGAGTGTAAAATTAGAGAATTGTGAGAAGACCTTGTTGATTGTGTTGACCAATGCTTATTCCTTCTCAACGTAAGAGGAGACCATTCCTCAAGTTTACATCGATCAAATATGAAGTGGCACAAAAACCATTCAGTGAACCGTATCCCGTAGAAAATAAAGTATAAACTAGCGTGAAAATAATAGGTATAGAAGTAAAAAAGTATGGGTAAGATAATGCGTGTAATTGGGGCATGTTAGTGACTCACGTTGTTCCCGTTCTTGGCGGCGTGCTCGAGCGCCTGCGACAGCTGGGCGCGGCGCACACAACACACACGTTAGCAAGCACACTCCGCGCTACGCGGGGGACACGGGGATTTACCGACCATCCATTCGCATAATTATTTGTCATCATAATGCCGTTTCCAACTAGTCAAATTCAATACTTTTATCCAAATGTCATTAACGATACTTTTCTAAGAAATTGGTATGCAACTCCTAATTATGACGTCGTAGTATTTTTGCGTCAAATGCATAAAAAATATCGGAAATTTATTGTATCGACAGATCGATCAATAAAAGTATAAATATTTTTCAATATTTTATTGTATTGAAACGTCGAATAAATTTTTTTCACCAAGGAAACTAACCCGATTATGTTGCTTTTTAGTATGAAAGCCTAGTATCGTTATACATTTTTTGGATGAATTTTTATTATTATTGTTATGTTTTAGTAGATTTTGAACCCAGTAGCCCAATTAATTTTAAATAAAAAAAATGACAGTTATAGGATCAATAGACACGCTCTATTTCATACGACAGACACTATATTACATCATTATATCAAAAAGAATGTATTAATAAGAATCGGATTCAGTAGTTTTTATATGATTATGTTTTAAACTATGCGAATGGATAGCGAAACATAAGTTATATAAACTTGACATTTCTTTACCAATAAATTTATACCAGCAGTAATTATTATTAACAAGGATTTTTTATTGCCTGTGTGCCCCGAGTAGCGAACAATTCCATACTATATTGCCTATACCTAATGTGTTATATATTTATTTACAAAGTGACTTACATAACTTTAATCAAGTGTGTTAATAGCGACATCGATTTGTTCTAAATGTTACTGAAGTGTGTTAATTTTAAGTTTATCCGGCAAAGCGTTACAACATCTATTACTTGAAATTAACTTACAGATAGTATGTATCGCGCCTGTAAATTTGTAATCATGTAGTTGTGTTTTTTTGAAGATATCAACTCGTCTTACATAATGTAAATCGACAGTTATAAATAAAAAAAAGTTCTAGAATCTTTTAAAACATAAATATATAATATTTTAATTTCTGTTTTGCTGTTACCAGTATGTAAGACGTTTGACAACTCTAAAATTCTTTAGTAATAAGAATTCTGTAATTATTATTCGTAGAAATATATACTTTGTATGTGCGAATATTTATCTATCTGGCGTGTACCTACGTGCTGAACTAGCGTCGACTGTACCGTGTGTCTATGATAATACGTGTTGTTTTTCAACGACAATTTTGTACTATGTACTCAACACACTGAAGATAGACTGTGGTAGTTAGAAAAACAACTTTATTTGGAAGACATAAGGGGTTATCAGCCCTTTTTAATCTTAATATTGCTAGTACATAGTCCAAAAAGTCGTTATTGCTATATCAAAGTGATATAGTTGAAAATATACCTGTGAGAAGTTGGGTACGGAGGCGGTCTTGCGCATGGTGATTGGTTGTCCCCGCGCCTGCTCTAGCTCTTTGACGGCGACGCTCTGTCGGAGCCGGTCCAAGGTCAGTATACTTTCCACTGCACTTACACCGCGAGTGTATTTTTCTGAAAATCAAAAGGTGTACATAATAAGAAATTGTTTTGTATTCATTGATTCATATTTTTTCCTTACTGAAAGGATGTTATAGTCAAGTTTTCGATTGATGTTTGTAGATAAAAATAATCGAGCTAAAATCATACCTAGTTTATAATATGTTCTTTTTAATTCTAGTTAAACACTTAACAATGAACTCTTTCTTTAACTACATAACTCTTACATTACAACATTGACCGATTATTGACATAAAAATATTTTTATCTGCCCACTAGTCCTTAGTGGTTCTTAGTTAGGTTTATATCTCGCAGTTTTCACAAACAAGTTGGTCATAAAAGATGATCTTTATTATGCTCTTCAATGGAGTTTTAGGAGCGAACTAATTATCTATACTGTGTATTATATGACTCTTACCAATATAAGTCTCTCCATCAGCAGCACTGGCTTCCTCCCCGGTAGCAGCGATCTGCGCGAGGCTCTCCCTTTCTTCCAACTCTTCGGAGGCCTTCGGTATGTTGGAAACCACCTCGTACGTCACTCCGGTCTGCGTCAACTGGTCCGTCCTGTCCACGTAATAACTAACACATTTGTATATTAAATACGTCATTATAGTCAAGTGTCTGTAATTGTATGGATAGGAAAGATTCTAACATGTTTTTTGTGTCCTTTGTACTGTTAACATAGTCTAATGTGCCATTCTTAAATTGATTTTCAACTTTGTTCGAAAATAATAAAGTTTAAAATCTAAGGAGTAAGTATGTTATAGGATGCAGTGCTAATAGTTGAGATTAAGAATGCAAGATACTATGTGCGAAACCAAAAAAGTAATTTGGCCACTTGTCTGATACGAAGCAGTGGCTTTTTGGTGACATGGGCTCTCGACCACACTATAAGCAAAAATTTTAAAATTAAAAATCTACTAAATAAGATGACATATCAGATAAAAATACATAAAAATAAACATTAGCATAAATCCCTCCCAACATTATCTATACCTTAAAAACCCATCCACAAAACTAAAACATATACGACTTGTCAACAAAAGCATAACATGGACATGCCAATCCCTCACAGCTACAGAAGAAAGAAAGATATAGACAAGGTCAAAAGGTGAACGAACTAACCTGACAATCTTCTTGCGTATCCTGTCGGTAAGGCTCTGTCGCTTGTATATGTTCAACCCTAAACGTTTCCTAAGTATGAGATCCATGGGGGCGGGGTGCGACAACCTTACTGTGGTCTTCAGAATCAGGTATACGCGTTCGTTTGCTGAAATATAATGTGAAAGGTAAATAAATTTAAATTAATTATTAACGTATCTTAACTGATCTCTGATCAGAAAACGACCGCTGTGCAACAACTAAAACGTTGTGTTTTGAGTGAGGTAACCCAATCCTTCCCGTCCCCCGTTGTTACCCAATCTTTAAATCCCTCAAAACCTCTTTTCTTAAAAAGGCTGGCAACATCCCTGCCTAAACCATAAATTCCCCAAAAACTCTTATCCTCAAAACGAAAATAACGCATTCCCAACACCTCTGATACGGCGATTGTCCATAGGCAGCGCCGATTACTCACGTCAGGTAATCCGAACGCTAGTTTAATGCCGTATCACATAAAAAAAAATTGAATCTTCATAGTTTGTTTACCTTCAGTAATACGGTTAAGGTACTGTGAGTCGTGTATGGAGGAGTCCCATGATGCGACGGCAGAGACATCTTTGTCGTGGTGGTGGAGTATCTGTAGCTCGTAGAACTTGTTGCCGTGCTCCTTGGGCAGGATCGAGTGTAACCCAGCTACCGTTACTTCTTCGCCACTCGGGTGAGTTGTTAGGTCATCCGCTGTGAAAGAGAAATTTTGATGATAACGAGAGACCCGCCCCGGCTTGACACGGCTGCAATGCTACTACTAAATTGCTCCACGATTTACTGGATGTTACTATACATTTAAACCTTCCTCTTCAATCACTCTATCTATTTAAGATAACCGCATCATAACGACTAGTACGTAGTTTTAAAGATTTAAGCGTACATACTACTCGTGCGCGATAAGTTGAGACCTGCTAGGAATGCGACTCCCCGCCCGCTTCCCCTGCACTTCCCCGATGGCGCCCGTATTGTACCGTTCGCATCACTATTGTTTAGTCTCACAGAACAGATACAAAAGGTTTACCTATACCTTTTTTACCTGTTAGGTATACCTTTTTTAACTGGCCTACGTCACGTACCGACGCGCTCTGAATTTTTTTTACTTTTCGTTTGTGTTATTTTTTTGTTGTTATAGTTCTTGTTAAGTGTTTTTGTTATCATTATGAAGTGTAAAACTGCATAGCGGAGAAAGAAACCTCGTGCTAAAAGTGTTAGAGTTTTTTGAAAACGAAAAACGGAACAAACAGTTTTGTTTACCTATTGACAACTCAATCCAATCGAATATATTTGGAATTTGGTCAAGCAAAGAGTAGCCGATAAAAATATCAACCAGTCTGAAAGGGAAATAGAAAAATTAACGAGAGATGCAATTACCAGCATAAGTGAGAGTGACTGGAAAAAAGAAGTCAACCATGTGGACAGGCTTCGACAAAAGTATTGGGATGATGACCTCCTACAAGAGACAAATGAATCGCAATTAATTGTAAATTTATCGAATACCTCTTCGTCAAGTGATTATAGTGAGACTGAGGACGAAGAACAACAAATGTAAATAATAGATAAAATAAATGTATAAACTTAAACATTGTATTTTTATTCATTATAAAACCATAGTCAACACTTTCGGTGATACATAATTAAATACCTAGTGTCCTATTTTATATTCGAATAGTGTAAAAAAGATTAGATAAATGGCAGCGTCCTCCCTGAGTAACATAATAAATTAGTTTAAAAAAAACAAAGACGAAGCCGCGGGCGGCTGCTTGTTATGTTCGCTTTTTTGCGGGCGGTACAAACACGCCAATGTGACGTCACCGCGCTCAAGTCTCAACTTATCGCGCACGGGTAGTAGGGACAGAGGAAGACGAAAGACGACTTTATTTTCTACTATGTAGTAAAGAGAAGCTATCTCGACATGATTGTATTATTTAGGTGAAGACTGTGAATAGTGAAACAAGTATCTAAATGACCAACAACTAAGTGCTGCAATACAAACATTTATGTGGGATTGGTGACGCCATTTGTTCATTTTTACTAATCCGTAAGCATGTACGGTAATGGGGCACTGCCAAGTCTCGAGCAAAACAGACACGACCATACCATCGTTTTCTCGAAACGTTTCGTTTTTTTCGATGTATTAATAAGACAAAAACTTACCATTGAGATCTAAGAACAGTACAGGTATGTGGTGTTCCATTCCCAACGGTGGGACCCAGGCGGCCGGCGCTCCGGGTATTGGGCTGCCCGGACTGGGAACTAAAACCTGGATAGAATAAAATAACAAAACACTGCAGGATTTTACTAGTGAAAATTTGAACTCTGTAGTCTGCCTCAGAGGAAAGATTTTAGCTAAGTATATTACTTAATTACGATTTACTACGCGATGAAATTATAGCTACTTTAACGATTATCATCATCATTATATATCAGCTGCAAAACGTCCACTCTCTTACAAGCATCTCCAATGACTGTTAGATAACCACCTGCCCAAGGTTAGAGATGGCCTGCAACGGCTCCCTGGGACTTTCACTTATTTGTACTGGTTAGTTTCCTTTTTATCATTTAAAATCTTTTAAGATACTGCTTCCGAAGCACAGACTAAAGTAAGGAGTAACGTAAAATAAATACAAACAGTTCTGTAATTATAATATTACTCACAGCATTTCTTTCTTCAGTGAGTGAGACCCACTGTTCGACGAGAGACTGTTCCCGTTCGTTGTCACGCTCACTCTTCATCGACGGCGACATGTTCACGAGTTTCTATCGGAATAACATAATTATATCAGTTCTAGCATTAAATTCAGACACGTAGAAATATGTTAGGGGAGAAGGTTTATTTTGGTAAACATGTCTAGACTGAGAGAGTTGACTCTAGAACTAGGTGGTTGACCCGGGGCGCAAATATACGCGAGACACAATGTGTTTTCTATTCTGTCTCACATATCGGCAGAGGTTAACGATGAAATTAGATAGGTATGGTTTCGTAGCTGTAGAATGATTGTTGTTGGCTGTTCTGTTAAATACCTGTAACTGTGCATGTAAATGCTGCCGTCTACGGAACAGTGCGTCGCTCCACCTCTCGCGTAGAACCGCTAGATCTTCATCTTGGTAAGAGTCCAATGGCATTTGTAGGCGTGATCTGTAAAGAACAAGCAAATAAATATTTTGATTGGGATACATTTGAAGATAGATGAAGCTTAAAAATATTCATTATTTCATGCAATAAAATAGAATGGAACAGCAATAAACGCGCAAAGATTTGCGCAAACAGTTCTATAGAGGAAAAGATTTGCGCAAAAAGAAAACTAAGGGCAAACAATTTTGCGCAATTATGGATATTACCCTATACTCAATAGGGTGAATTCAATTTGGCAACTACTTTTATTGTGTATAAGAATGTGTTATACCTGACACTGACGGAGCCGACCTCGATGCTGAGTATCTGCTGGCAGACGAGGGGCAGCGTCCCGGAGTTGAGCGCGGGCCGCACGCGGACTGCGATACGTCTCTGCTGGCCCTGCCGCACTTGGTACACGCCGCCCGTCCATACGTCGTTACGCTGCACCACCTGCGTATTACAATAAATGTTATATACATAGACAAATAATTAAGACTGGCATTGGCACACGATCTAAACAGGACAGAGATCAAGTAGATTGTTGACAAACGATTTGATCATTTGGATGGCCTGATGGTAAGCAATCGGTGCCGCACATGGATACTCGTAATAATACTAAAGGAATTACTGTGCGATGCCCTTGTGGGTTATTGGGGATTTAAGGATTGGTGTCGTTGGCCTCTTGGGGGGTTATTAGGGGTTTAGGGATAGAGGATTTGAGTATTGAGGGGAAGGATTGGATTTCCGATACCTCTCCCATTAAGCGAAACGCAACGTAAGAGTTACTTCACGCCGGTATTCTCTAAGTCCGTGGTATTACTGTGATCGAGCCATCACATTCGTGCTGAAACATGGCTCTTCGACATGCTAGTGGCAAGATACGAAGACGATACCTACCAAGATATTGGACATTAAAACCTAAGAAAATAATGAATATTGCTAAGGGATATTTTTCTTACCTCGACGGGCGCGTACTCTCCATTGTCGTTCAACTCGTGTATTTCGACCCAGAGTTCTATCTTCCTCGTGAGTTCAGTCCACCTGTCGGCCAGCGAGCGCGCCTTAGCCAACTGTTGTTGTTCCACTTCCCAGTTCCCGCGCGCGCGGCTGAACCCGGCCGAGCGATGACCCCATACTTCGATTGACAGCGCACCCTCTGGTAAACAAGTTAAAAGTTTATGGGTATTCAATAATTTCTAAAGTTTCTTAAGAAACTTTAGGAAATTGTATAATGACATTTACAAAGTACATAAAGGAACTAGCTTGCTGATTTTTTATTGAAATATCTTACCGTAAGCAAACTATAAAGACATTCGATAGTAGGTAAAGGGAGGGAATGACAACATTTTGGCGCAAAGATTATAAAGCGGGTAAAATTAATTAATTGAACTCAAAATGTCATATACTAATATTTTAAGTGGGAAAGGGTATGTTTTTGATTGTCAGTCTTTTCCAGCAAAATGGAGCTACATTTCCATTTGTGCTGCAATCAGGAAAAGGCTACTGCGCCAGAAATTTAAGGCGAATGAAGTCACCGGCATAAGCTTGTCTTTAATAAATATCGACTAAATCAAGATCGTATTAATTTACTCACCAGCACAATGTTCGATGAACTCTTCAGTTAAGGGAATGGTGAAGTCCTTCTTATGGTCGAAGCGGAATGTGACGAGTGACTGGTGTCGCGGGGAGAGGGGCGGCGCGGGCGGCGCGGCGGGGGGCGTGTCCGCCGACACGACGGGCGGGACCACGACGGGCTCCCCCGCCCCCAGCGAGTACTGGCAGAACACGAAGTGGGACAGCGACGGCGGCAACCCCGTCGCTTGCTTTATTGATACTCGGATGGTCACCTGTGGAGGAAATATCTTGGTATTATGATATTATTAACACGTTAACCGCCTCTTAGATCACCGGTGACCAAAGGTAGCGGAGGATTTGCCTGCATTTGTGCCGAGTTTTATGTGGGCAGCCAAAGACTTAAAGTTTTGTCTATAAGCGTGGGTTAGTTTATTCTCTCAATAATTAATGTCACCCATTTATATATTTAAAAGTTTAGTAGGAGAGGTGATTCAAAAATAAATCGAACAACAAAGTTAAAATTTAAAACGTGTTTTCATATGCTCCTGTTTTGTAGTAAATGTTTATGCCAGTTTATGCCAGACGACCCTGCTGGAGCAACTCGCACTGCTGGAGGAACCCTCCCCCTTAGCTCTTCACATCGAACGACAAGTCACTACTTGCACCCATTGGCTCCCCGCGACCCTGACGAGATCGTCTGTCCACCTAGCAGGTCTTCCCGCACTACGTCTTCCGAATGCTTCAATGAAAACGCTATACTTAAGGAACATTATAATTATAAAAAACAGTGTGTTTACCTGTTGCGTCGCCGAATCAGCAGGGTCATCATCATCCCTCATATCACCGGAACTGTCTGAAGCAGCTTCACATATTCTGTCCTGAGGAAATTGGCCTGCTACTCGACTTATTTCCACCTAAAATTATTTAAACATATTCAGTGTTTACGTTTATGTAACTCTGGATCTACTTGAAACTAGTTGAGTTAGTAGCCCAGCCCCTGAACGGGGGAAATAATTAGATGATTGTCCCCTCACAATAAAAAGTCTGTTGTTACAGCACCAACCAAAATTTTATATAATGTATCCCCAGATACTAGTTTTATTTCAACAAAACTGTCTTTTACAATCGATTCTATGTTTGCAATTACGTATCTTTAAAATGGATGTTTTCTGAATATACCTGTAACCTCCCAGCGACCTCTCCCTGCTGGCTGATGATGGGCGTGTGGTAGTCCAGCGTCACGTCATGGAACAAAGCCTCTAAGAACACGTTCGCTACTCCAATCAAATTGTGATTCTCTTGCGATTCATAGAAGGGGTCTATTGCTGTCTCTGCTTGTTCCTATTAGAAGAAGGGAGATAGTTGTATATATGTGAATGTTGAATGTAGGTTATTGTTTTATGTAGATTATTTTTGCATGCTTTTTAGTTTGATCAATTATTTAATAATAGTTAATATTAATATGTTAATATAAGTGCTCCTTCACAGCATTTGGTTACTTGTTGATGCCCAATATTATTATGTTAAGTTTTAGTTTTCATGCTCAGGCATATGCATATTTCAAAGTGAATTATAATGTTAAACATGTTTACATTTACTCATATTTTTTTGGGTTTGTTATTATTCCATCCTTATGTTTCCCAGCGTATTGGCTAAACTATTATAAAATATGTACTAAAAATTAGGTAAATTATTTCAACTACTTTCATACAGTTAGTAAAGGAACGAAGCACACTCGCTACTTTTGGTAATCAGCTTATCAACTATTGTATTGTACAGACTCTAGAAGCAAGTGAATCTATTCCTGACAGTGTAAATGCTTAATTAAATTTTGAACTTTATTGTAAGTATTAAAGTCGAAAATCCAAAGTCCTCCTACAGTCGCTTGAACAACTGCCTTAGAAATATCTCTACAACTGTTTTACTGCAAGAAATTCCAACTCAAAGCCATTTATTTCAACTAAACTTTAAGTACCTTTGAAACGTCAAAACAGAATAGTAGTATGACAGCCTGTTCGTCAGTAAACCTAGGTGTTAGATCCAGTTTGTAGATCCGAATGTGAGAGGAAAGAGCAAGAAACTTAATATGAATGGACAAGAAATAGAAATAGAAATCTTTTATTTGTCAATATGTTATCAAGTACGTTACGTCCGTACATATCAAGTACGTAAGTTACGTCAAGAAGTAGCATGTGTATTTAGTTCCTTTTTAATGTTAGTAATCCCTCAACCACTTACGCCGTCTCCGCTGGGCAGGCGTACCTCTTCGATGACCTCGTCGCCCCGTTGTTGCCTGCGTCGCCAGTCGTCGTACATGTCGCGCATGTCGACCAACTTGTTGTCCAACTTCTCCATCGACCACACTTGACCGCTTCGTCCCGGACGTCTCACCATTATCGCTGGCTCTGATACGAACGCGCCGCGCTGTGAAAAAGTAAATATTAACAAATAGTAACAAATATATTTTTCTCTTCATACTTGTCGACAGATTTTTTAGACTAGATCGAATAAACACCTTGTTAGTCAGTAGGTAGTAGAAATGATAACGAAGTGGGGTATAATTCTTTTTCAATTAATGAAAAAAATGACAGTGGCAAAGACAAGTGAACTTCATCCAAGCAGCATCTATTGCGTTGACACTTAGTACAGTTAGACAAAACAGTAGTTTTTACATGAAGGATTCTAAATATTTTTTCTGAAGGCATTTTAATATTTTTTTTTAAATGCTACTTTACCTTTCTGTTAGGACTAAGATTCTGCGGTGGTATTTGTAGCGTAACGCTGAACCGAGTGTTCCGCCTCATCTCTTCAGCCAAGAAGTTAGCTTCCTGTACGAGTGCGTTGGCTCTCAGTATGTCAGCTTTGAGTCGGCCCAGTGAGCGCTTGAATGTATCGTCACGTTCGGCCGCCCAGCGCTCTACGCGGGCCGCTGTGGTTGGAGTACAAGCTGTCATTTTACCTGCAAAGACATCATTTAGTTTATTTAAATGTACGACGTTTAAGTGTAGGAAAGCCAAGCTTTGGCAGGAATGGGCCGGGTCGACTGGAATAATACCACGGCTACCAATGATGTATAAAACTATAGATACGTTGTCCGCGCTCTACAATGACAACATGAAATGAAGGCAATTGACAACATCGCGCTTAGTTACGCACCAACCTGCCGCGCGACGCTACGTTTGTTTTTAATTTAATATCGTGTGTGTAAACCTGTGCGAAACATAAAGAAAGCATGTCGTCGTGTGTGTTCAGACGATGTACAAATTATAATCCAAAAGTTAAAGATAAAAATGTGTCATTTCATGCATAAGTTCACCAAACAACCTATTTTTATTTTATTTTTTTCGACGCCGGCGCCCGCCATCTTATGGCGGCCGGCGCATGAAGGTATAGTCACGTGCCGTCGGCATAACTGAAGATGTATATTTATCTCCCTCTAGCAAAGGCATTCCACTATACGATGTCATATTTTCTTTCCCTTTTTTACTCGTAGAAGTAGTTATCTAGTATTTTCGCCGTTTTTAAGCGCCGCGATGTTGGTTCATGACGTGTCTATATATAATACGTCATTGACGGCTACACAGAAATCCGGCATGCAAAATCTACAGCTATGTTTGCCGTGCAGTGAGGTTGTCGGAGGCTCAATCCTTTTCTTTTCTCTCCATCCCTCCCCAATCCCTAACTCTCAGAAACCCTAATCTCCAAAAGGCCATTAACGTACCCATCTCTGGTATTGCAGGTGTCCATGGGCGATGCCGATTGCTTACCATTAGGTAACACACCTGCTCATTTACCGACCTATCGCATAAAAGATTAACTAAAAAGACGATAAACTTAGAAAACAAATTAGCAAAAATACCGTTTACTTACACTTTTTAAATAAAATTCGTAAATAATAAGTAGATAATATTCGGTTTAATAAAAACATACCTAATTTGAGTGGATCATACGCGTATGGCGGATATGGTGTAGAAGGCGACAGAATATTTCTAAGCTGTTGGAACTGTCGCTCGTATTCTTGCCGTTGTTTTTCTAGCGCCACTAAAATAAACATAATTATAGTTAAAAAAATATTACACAATAATATTTAATTTTCAAAGTGTCATTTCACTAGTATAATATCTCTACATAATACATTACAAATGTCAAATAATACCTTGTTTATCCTCTTCGTGTTGTTTCTCAAGCCTGGATATTGCAGTCTGTATCGGATCGTTGCTAAGTTCATTCAGCATAATCTCATCACGTGCGAAGTTATAGTCGATCGGTTGCGCAGGAGTTTGTGGTTCGGATGCCGTCGCTGTGGAGTAACCAGAATCTTGTTCTACAACGGAACGCAGTAGAACAAAGAATACATCAAATAAAAGCGAATAATAGCAAAAAAAATAAACTGAGAAACAGTATTTATAGTAGAAATAATTATAATCATAATTTGTTTATAAATAATTATAATAAAGCTCGCATTAACGTAAAACTAAATTGCTTTTTTAGCGAATAAAAATGATAATTTTGAATACATAAAAAAGTAAATCAGGTTTTTGTTTTAGTTCGGGCTAACCCTTTCGATTCGAAATTACGAAGTTATACCCTTAACACAACAACGTATCTAACACATCCATATCCACAAAATAAACGTACCGGTAGCCTTAGGACAGTTGACTCTGAAGAAATGATGATTTCCCCAAAGTATTCTGTCGGCATGTCCGAGCCTGACTCGAGAGACCACGGGAGTGCCGTTGACGAAGCATCGCGCAGCACCGAGAGGCTCCATGTGTAGGCCTCCGCCCTCAACAAGTAGTTGACAATGTTCAGGTTGAATACCGAGACCGGAGAGCTGGATGTCTGCTGAACTTGATCCTCCTACCAACGTGCGATCCTGATAGATAGAAATAGAATATATATATATCGATAGAAAGTACACATTACTATTAAGTTTTTGTCTAATGGAAGACTGTTAAACAAAGGGTCTATAAAAAGAAGTTTGCAGTAAATACCCTTATTTGGCTAAGCTTGCAGATCGCAATTGTATGGTATTAGGGGATGCTATCCATACAACATCGGCTGGTTATTTTAATAGCATACAAATTCCCAATAAAATGTTAGGTTCCAACAAAAACTAAATAAGGCCAATTCCTAAATGAAAGATCAGTCAGATTTCTTTTTCAATCGGCTTTTGGAAGTTGAAGAACAAATTACTACACTAATGTTTATAGACAGTGATTAATTTGGCCAAAGTCCACAAATCTTTTGCCTTAATACCTGATCTCATCAGTGATTGGAAGCAATTGTAGTATAGATGAAAGAAATAATGGGATTATGAACTGACCTTTAGGTAGTATACAAGTAATTCGTTGAGCGAAGGGTCCGCATTGAGGTTGACTAAGTAATATTTGTTCTTCTCCACTTTGATACCACTCGCTTGCACGCTGATCCCCATCTTTTCTAGCGCCTGCTGTCGTTCGCTTTGTATTCGACCTGTAGATAACATCAATAGATGAATCAATCCAGATGATTATTTTGTTAGTAAAAGAAAATGATTCAAATAAACTTTTTGATAAAACAAACACCAATTCATTTTGTTTTCAACCAACCATAAATATTGAAAAAAAGATGAAATGAAAGCTGAAAACTATTTTTAAGATACTATTATCATTTATTGATATTCAGCTTAATTAATACACTCAATTTACCACCGACAGCAACCAATTCCAGATACAAAAGAAAACTCCATAATTTATGTAAACTACGAAACACTCGGTTCTCTGATAGTAAATGGAAAAATATATTAAAGACTGCAGTTTGAACAAACCGAGACGCAAATGGATGCGGTTTAGTGCACCGGACGCTGCCGCAGCTTCGATATTAAAACATTCTTTATTTATAAGCACTACAAGTTTTTTATACAATTTTGCATACATTTATTCCGTATACGTAATTGATAACTTTTATGTGTCAAACAAAAGCGTAAATTATTTTTGTTTATTAAAATTCTGCCGTATTTCTGGCCTAAACTTATGAAAAACGTAACGTAACGTAAAACCGTAAGTTCTAAGCCTGGCCTTTTTCTAGTTAGTTAGTTAACAGCTCTATCTGATCACAGACGGAGAATGCAACAGTATTTCGTTTTACGCGATTTTTCGTTTAATTGGATATCTCAATTTCATAAAATGAATATACACATACCAGTTTCAACCAGCTTCTCTTCCCAAGTCCGTGACATTTCCTTCATGAGGTGCTCGCTTTGTGCCAGTTTCTCGTGTACTTCTTCACCCACAGGGGAACCCTGGAAAGAAAATGCCAATAAAGCCTTCATTCTAAAGTAAAAATGACCCACTATAATTTAAATGTAATTATCGGTGGAGTGAGGTCGGATACCCAAACCCACTCCATTCATCCTTCCTCAATTCTTAAATATCCAAAACCACAGGGTGTGTTGGTGTTGTGGGAATCCACTGGCGGAGCCAGTTGCTTACCATCAGGTAATCCGTATGCTCATATCGTCCGTACGTACATATTATCAAGTCCCTTACGTAAGATTTATTTCTACCAGCTCTATAATAAACATCGTAGTACCTATTTGCAAATTGTTTCAGTAAAAACATTACCTGCACGTTTAACCTAGATAGTGGTGTAATTAATTTTCCCCCAAAGCCCCGAGGACACGTAACAAGAATACTAATCCTTCAGGGAAACAGATCGTAAATTACCGCCGTGCGAAGCGGCGTCCGCCCTCTGCAAACCTAATCTGAACGAGTACCCAGCAGTTTATATAGGCATTGTCTTAGAACTAGCGTAAAGAAATTAAGAACGAATATCAACAACGAAGTCTTTAGACCTAAGACCACTAATTTATATGTAAAGTTGCAGTCAATTGAGAGTGCTTTTAATTAAACCTTTTTTAAGAAGTTGTCTAATTGTTTCCTCTAATGATTTCTCTGTGGATAAAGATATTGATGAATGAAGAAGAAGTAAGAAAATTTATCTAAATAGGTTTGCTAGAATCTTATCATTCGGTCTTTCACTGTCTTAGCCTACCCCAATGGAAGACAAGTATGACGATATTATAGCATATCTATACTCGGACTTTTAATTCCATTCCAGATTTGACAATTTCAGTGTTGCAACGTTATGACACGTATTAAATAGTGACGTTGCGAAATTATTCGATGTGGAAATCGAATATTTCTGAATCGATTCCTCTCGTTTATAAATTTAATCTCGTAAACTAAGTTTATCAGGAAATAAAATATTTCTGATCCGATAATTTAGTTTTGACAATTAATTAACGATCTGAGACTTTTCTTTTGTAATTGTGTGTGAAATAAATAAAAAATGTGATCATGAAGGAACATGACAAATAAAACAGAAATTTTATAAATTGTGGCCGTCATCGCTATCGCTATCGCTGTTACTTTATGTAACATTTATTATAAATTGTGTCTGTGATTTTTATTGTCAATTAACATATCTAGCTTACTAATTTTTTCCCCTGTTTTGACAACATGAGATACGCATTTAGACCATTCGGTAGCCGTAATTTTTTGAATGCTTTCCTGAAACTGATTCACTGATTGTTTATCGATTTTTGTGTTCATCACTACACTGTTATATGTGGTATCATTATTTCACAAAATGACAGTGGTCAATGTCAAATCAGGAATCGAATTAAAAGTCTGACTATAGATATTTAATAGATACATAACAATAACGAGACTTTAGCTGTCAGTATGACTTTCCTATTGAAAAGTAACTCTCCCGATTCAATGCAGTTTCATTGTTTTCTGTTGGGCATCCATACAATGTAGAAGGGTAAAAAAAAATAAAGGAAGCAATACATGATGAATGACTAAACCACTTCAAGTCATTGTACAGTTCAGCCATGACACAGTTTAGTATATCGATCCCTAACGATACATGTACGGTACAAAGTCGCATGTGATATGCACATTTGTAAAACACATGGTGAATCTTAAGGTCGATGAGCCGCCTTGGATCCGCCGACCTTTTTGTTTTCTTTGTGTAAATAATGCAACGCGATAAAAGCTGGCCCTAATCCAAATACACTTTCACAGGCAAAAAAAACAGCACTGAAATTTGTTTTATTTATCTTAAAATTGTAATTTTAATTTCTTTTGACAGATTTTTAGGATGAAATATTAAAACTCTGATCGAAAAAAACGATCGTCAACTACAATTTCGTAACTCGATCGCAGATTATATTATCAATGTGGACACACGAAGAAGAATAAATGCATGCAAAGGAATCGACATATGAGTGAATTAAGAAGAATATACCACGAATGTGGAGAAACTGAAATCTCTATAAAGTATAAAGAACAATCTCACACGAACAGAGTGTGAGTACGACTTACCGTGCCACTTACCGTGGCATACTTTAGCATCTCCTTGAGAGTCTCCACTTCCTGGCGTAGTTCCCGAATGATACGCGCATTCGGGTCCTCGTTCACAACAGCGTGGTTGACGATGCGTTTCGCTCGGTCGGCGTATCGGAGAGTCGATAGCGTTTCTTCGTAATTATCTGCAGCTGGTGATATTGTAGCGACCTGCGAAAACAGTCGATCAATATTTCATCAATTATACATAGAATAAAAAATCCATACGGGTTTAACGTAAAAAATAAAATATTCTATTATTAATTCAAAAGCTTTTAAAATCTCGTAATGTAAACTGAAATGTATTTTAAAATAAATTAATAAAGAGAACATCTATTACCGAGAAAAACGTTGGCTACATTCATATTGAAAAACAAAAAAAGGATTGCTTTGAATAAATCTACTAATAACGCTGATGGACGGAGTTTTCTCATTGCAGGTCTGCATAAAACAATTGCAGAAACAAACAAAGGGACTGACTTCCTCATAATTACAAAGCCAGCCAGACTAAAATGACCCTTGTTTACAAATGAAAGTAAACAAAATGGTACTTTTTCCAATGTAAATACTATTTATATTGATTCGTAGAACATTTCTCTGCGCGACGACGAAGCATGAGTGTTTCGAGTTGGGTGACTCAAAGGATGCGACGGTCCGTGGTTAGAACTCGAATTTATTTCAAGTCTAGAAAGACTTTATTTGCATTATCTTTCCGCTTTAAGAGGTGCTAAAGTGCTTGCAAATTGATTAAGTTTGTGTTACACTTTTGTTAGTTGACTGTCTGGGGCTAATTTGATCCTATCTGAAACATTACTTATAGCATTGTTGATGCTTATAGAAAATATACCTCAAGATTTTAACACAAAGCTTAGACTACAGCAGAAACAGTCACAATATATAAAGGCAATTCTTTAGAAAATAATCGCTATCAAAGTTTATATATGTATAACAAAGAAAATACCTAAAGAACCACTGGATGTGACATGACAAAGGACTATTAGTATTTTACGATCCTTCGCGAAAACAGCCTACGACTGTCTTTTACGAGGTAAAAATAGTTTTGTTACTGTCGCCCTTAATATCATACAGTGTGCACGTCACTCATAGTGTCAATTAATTTTCTATTAGCTAAAATAGTTTATATATATATATATATGTGTGTAATAACTATTATAAGACATACGAAATTTATTGAAAATAACGACGTAATCACGTGAGTTAACTGAAAAACAAAGCTAGACGTGAATGCTGCGCTGCCCATAAATAAGAGTCCCGTTGTGACTTGAAACTAGTAGAGCCTGTCTCAGTTAATTCAGGTATGTCATAGTTCTTAATCAATTTGGTAGAACAGTTGCCTGTTGCAGTTTCAACCCTGAAGTCCAAGTCATACTCAAAAAGTGTACAATTTTAGTGTTACATTTTGATAAAGTACTCAAGCCTTAGCAGCGTTTTACAAACATAGCAATAATTATCTGTAACGACAGAGTATGTATAGTAGTGTGGATAAATAAAGTGCATAATAGTGGCTAGTAGGCCATCCTCTGATACTTATGTATATTAATAAAGATAAGAGAAACATACAAAGTTTAAGAGTATCAGAGATAAGAACGTGTCTATAAATTGACATAGGCTGCACAGCTACATTTTTAAGCACGCCTCTTTTAAGCAAATCCTTAAAAGAGATCGCATTTAAAAAAAATAAGTAAGTGCATTAATATTAAACAAGTTTTGAATCACTCGTGACTCGTTATGTACCTAAGCTTTTTAAGAAAATCTCGTTGCTTGAACGTACGTATGCATAAAACATGCATAACCTCTACATATTTCCCAACGGTTTTGAAATTATTCAGAAATTCTATGCAAAGAAAACTGAAAAAAGACCGTATTTTATTTATGAAAATCAACATAAAGTTAATCAGTACACTGTTGGCCAGTTTGTTATTTTTTACCAAAATGTATTAAGAAACACACATACTTATTTTAAAAACTATATTTATTTTTGTTTGTAGATGTAAAATTCAGCAGTAATTAATGTAAAAATGCCCAATTTAAGTTTTTTGTGGATATTTCGATAAGATGCAGAATAGAGGAGAGATATTCTGCATCTGAATATCTCTCCTCTAGCTCCTTCTGCTGGTCATTAACAAAAGAATACAATTACTCACCATAACAGTCTTGCTGTTCCCTCCGAGGTTGTCTTTGAGCAGCCACGTGAGCACGGAGTCTCTGTACGGCACGAATTTATCTTTGTTCTTTGTGCCAGATGACTGATCTGCTAACTTAGATATTACTAGACCGAGTGTTGTGAGGGATCTGAAACAAATCAAACCATTGGTTAATTTGGATAGACCTTTGAACGAAAATGTAGATACTTAGTTTCTTTTCATGAAGATCGACGAACTTTCAGCTCTTGTTCTTGCAATGTATGTATAATTATTTCCCATTCTTGCTGCGTGCACTCTCATACATACGTGCAAAGTGCTGATCACTTTATAACGTATCAATTGCTACTAATAGTCCTCTTCACTGTCTTTTTAACGTAATGATATCTAAGAGAAAACCACATCCATCACTCTAGTCAATCTTCTTATGACAGACGCCTGCCAAGGGGTTGTCGACCGTTAACTTACTTGTTAATATTGGAGCCTTCCTTCAGCCTGTCGCCCACAGCGCCGGTCTTGACGGCTCGCTCGGAACCAGCCAGGTCGACGAGCGACAGACGTGCGACTTTCTCACCAGACACACCAGTCGCAGCGTCAGTCAGAGTTTGAGTTAGGACGACGCTAAACACTGCGTGTGACCGCGATGACTCGCTGTTCATGTTCGTCGCTGCTACTGTTCGCGATTTGTTGCCTTCTGTCATTAGGTTGTCGATGTCCTGTTGGTAAAAAGAAAATATTTTATTAGTATCAGATAATAACCAAACCTTTAAACGATTTCACAAGATTTTTTCTTAATTAATTAAATTCGAAAAGTGAATAAATCTAAAAAGGACATTTTCAAAAGTTAAATAAAAAGTTCGCAAACTTTTACTACGCAATCCGTTTAATAGTTACCCCCAAACAGTAACATTTAACAACAAGAACTGTAAATTCTAAACCTTTGGCAATTTAATTCTAATAGCGAGTGAGAGGGCAATATAAAACTAGTTAAAAGTTTAACATTTGCGTTAGACAAAGTTGGCATCGCGATTTCGAACTGTTTACGAGGGTTTCTGCAATGTAGGAACAACGAGGGAGGAAAAACTTTGAATTGAAAACACATTTCTAAAAATACTAGCTGCTTGAAATTACACTGATTGTAATAATATTCAAAGTATATCAGATCGAAGACACTCTACTTGCATTAGATTACATAAAGGGTACAACAATACTGTCAACGTATCTTGGCGAGTCTGAAGTTAGCCGATTAGCTGCGCAGTACACAATTTTGTTCCTAAAAGATCCATTGCGCAGACAAACGGCTAACTTCAGACTCGCCAAGATACGTCGGCCGTACTGTACTATGAAAACGTTTATTGAATACTACTCAACATTCAAGTTTATATCCATAATGATCGCATATAAAGCGCAAGTTTGTGAACCGTTGTGTTATCGTTAGTAACAAAAGTCCACATAAACCAGTTAGATGAGGTAGTTACCAAGTCTTTGGTCGTTAGCAACTTGTGTAGTTCACATTTAGCCTTAACTAAAGCCCTAGGTTCTATATGCGCTTATCACTGTGCCCAGTATCATCGTAGTCTTTGTACAAACACTAGTATATGCATCACAATAGCTAATCCGCTTAAAGTACGTAGATGGGTTGGACACAAAGGTCTGTTGTACAAAGAGACCTAATCCGTATGGCTGAAATCATACATAATACAGCCACAACAGAAAAATCTCGTTAAGTTACAGCAGTGGATTATGGGAACTTTAACTTTTCTAGCTATCTAGGACACTACTTAATGTTTACATGAAGGCAGTTAATGACAGGATTAAAGCGAACGCACACCTATTGTCCTTCTATTGTGTCTCGAATTACCACGATTGAAAGGGTCAAAGAAAACGCCAAATTCACTTAACCTTCTTCCTTTATTGTCAGGCTATATTCATATCTTTTAGAATTATATTACTCTGTCTTAGGTATAACATTAAAATCACAAAGGCTTTACAAGTTTCTCCCAATGAAACTTTTACTGTAGGTGTAATAAATATTCAAATACTTGTGAAAACAACCTCAAGTTATGAATGAACTTAATTGTTTCATTAAACCAATCCAGCCACGTTGGAAACTTATTTGGAACACGTTTGTTCTAATATCGTCACAAACTGGTAAGGTTTGGGCTGATACTTGCAAATTCAAGTTCAATTTGAATTAAATTTCATTCATTGAACGAAGTTACCTTGTGAGTGAGTAGGGTTGACAGACACCTAATGTATTTTAGATCGGCTTTGCAGGTTTATTTAGCAAAGTGTTTTTTTAGTACCTTGTGGTATAAATATGATTGACCGATGAACTAGTCTTAAGGCATTTAATTGGCTCTGTTTAAAAGATTTTTTTGCAAAAACAAAAATCTTTCCTTTTTACAACTAAGTTACACCTTCCATTGTGTAGTTAAAACACTACCTCATTCATCTACGATTGCGCATAATAGGGATAATCCTGGCAGCCACCCATGTTTAAATACTCACTCGACGTTTATACGGCACACGTATTAAACTGTAAGCTGATTAATTTTTAAACGGGAAGAGAAAAACCGATGCAAAGGTCAGAATAGCAGATTAATCATTGTTCTACTTGAATATATGTATATTGAAGTCTGCGCTGCATTGTAAGCAAAATATTTACTTCGAAAGCAAATATTCGTTTCAGTCAAAATACATCATAAATATTTCAGTTCGTTTCGTTGATTAACCCTATTCGGCAAACTCACAAAATTACCATAGCCACATAATCCTGCAAAGAATACCGAATCAATATCAAGAAAGTTGTAAAAATGAATGTTAATTTTAGGTAAACAAATTCACATGAGGAGTAGGCAGCCAATCACCTTGCGGCGAGGGTTGTTTGCGCCGCTCCCAAAAATAAAACCCTAACACAAACACACCAAGACATTCGTAATCAAATTGTGTTAGCAGGGCTGCCAGATGACCCCTCTGCGGTTGGCAAGTGTTGAAATAGAGACCGGATAACATAACACAAATATTGAGAAACTGCTGCTAAATGCAGATGATGCACTGAACAATTCTTTGAAAACGCTTCATCAAAAGCCAAACAGAATAATAATAAAAAGAAACAAATGTTTTTTTTTCCTTTTTTTCTTTGTAAAAACAACAAAAAGAAATGATCTGTATATTTTCGGCATCTAATTTTCGATGACCTGCCAGCCCTACGGTTGTGCGGTATCGAAATTCAATTTGGTGGGAAATGTTTGTTACATCTCTTTTCATTTTAGCTGCGTTGAAAAAAAAAATGAAATATGTATAGAATTAGACCTTTTTATTCATCACGAACTGGTATCAAGCGGTTTCGTTCAATCATTTTTTATTATATTTCTATCATTCTGCACTGAGGAGTTGAAGACAAACGTTTATTATTTCAAGAAAAGAATGTTTACTCAGAAAAGAACAAATCATGATTTTAAATGTATCACTCAGCAGATTGGTTTTATTCAACTGCGGCCAAAACAACAAGTCCAATTACACATGAGAACAAAAATCGTCTCACCGACACAATCCAAACGATAAACACTTACGCATCTCTCAGACATTAATTAGCCAAGAAGTACAAATGTAGTACACGTTGTCAGTCCAAGAACGGATGTAAGAGTACATTAGTAACCGGACCACGTACACTGGTACAGTATTAGAATATTGGCTCACAGATCACAGAAGTCCGTGATAAATTGTCAGCGTATACGACACCGACGGTTGCAAGTGAAATCTGAACAAGCTGCAATATTTCAATACACTAGCGAAGCTTCAGAACAGCTTGGCAGGCGCATCTATGGGCCATTTCAATATTGAAATAGAGGGTAAATATTCACTGTGTATGCGAATATGTAACGTGATTTTCCAAGACATACACGAGCAAATAAACTTTATATTTTCTTTTCTAGCATAAGATTTTATTAATATTGATGCTGTTAAAATTCATTCTAGAGAACGTAGATATTTTTGGTAAAAACGAGCATAGTAAATACCCAAATTTGATAAACTAATATAGAGGGTTTGGAGACAAATATCCACAAGATGCAAATACAATTGGAGTCCATAATATATAGGACCGTCTCGAGCATCCGGCCGCGGATACATTCGCTTCGGTCATAAACTGCGACCATTGTAGTGATTTCCGAACACAATATCCACATGTGGTTTCCTTTCCTCTTCCACGGATTATATTTCGTATTCACATTGAGTATTTATCGTTATGTTCCGAATATCATAGGTGAGACAGTTCATCAAAGTTTTTGAATTGGTAAATAACTGGACTTGTAACTACTACTCCGGCCCTAAGTTAAAAGTTGGTGCTAAATAAATAAAAGCAAACCTCTAACTGAATTCTTGGTCTTATTCATTAAAAAGTTGAACAAAAATAATTTATTAAATGTTACATGGTAACCAATTTCTTCCAAGTTTTAATGGCCGTTTACCGAAAATAAGGCAATCGCATTAAACAATCGACCTTCCATTAGGGCTGGATTGACAGCGTGACTGACGGGTTCAAGGTCAAACCCAACGCTGACAAAACCGCTAAATCCAAAAGGACAAAAGTACCACTTTTCACGACACACGATAATAATCTCACTTCACAAGAAAGATTGAGCCGAATAAAGAGTCGCGTGCACTTGAAACTGCAGTTGTTTGGTTTTGTCAGAGCCTAAAGCCGCACTGCAGGTGGATTGCTTAGAGTTCACGTGCCAGGAAGCTAGCAAGGGCGCGAAGCACGCAGGTAGGCAGGTGCTTCAATGACGACATTATTTTTAGATGTCAACTTTATAAATATAAAGTTAACATATAAAAATACTACTTCTTCAAAAAGCTTTCTGGGAATCACCGCAGCTTGGTCCAGAAAATACTTATGATAAATTCTTTGTAAGAATATTTTTATAATATTTTCAATTTATCCCTATAGTATTTTTTTACATTGCGTTAAGACTCTCTAGCGGTCGTCAAGCCTCCCCGAGTGGGATTATGTACCTCGTGGGCACGAGTCAGTCAAGAGGCATTAACCTGGGATAGTTTTCAATTATTTATAGAGGGAATATAAAGGGCAATAATCTTCTAACATGTGTAGCCTTCAAAGATCATGTCATAACCCTATGAATAGTTAATGTAAAACAATCTTCACGTAATGTACGGGGAATACAATTTCTCTATGAGAACATAGACATAAACAAACCCCAGACAAATGGAACTAAATGTAACAATAACAAGAGAAGAAAGTACACACGATAGCAATCCATCTTGCTGTCGTATTAGAAACTAAATTACGTTGCCTGTTATAATAACGAAAGAATTATCTTTGGGAGAGTGGATTGAATTAAATCCTAACTACGTTCTAGTCTTTGAAGAAGAAGTGTATTTATATTGGAAATGATATGAGTTTCAATTTTTAAAAAGTAAATTCCAAGATTTTGGAACGATAAGCATCAGATTTCATTAAGAGGAGGAGCATTTTATTTAAAATACCCAATCAAATATGGTAAACAAAAATAAAAATGCATAACCAGCTCATAATTTTTCATTAAGTGAAAGCATAATTGAACACTTTGGCCTGTGACGCAATCAGCCCATCGATCAAGCTGAAACTGATTTCGTATCCGCACTAAATGAGGTATTTCCATCAGGATTATGAAAATGAATTTCATAAACGACTCGACCGTTGAAGCTGTGG